GAACGAAGTCTTGAAGCTTAAAGCATTCAAGATTAAGTGCCTGAATATCCAGCATTATGTTTACCTTCGTTCTTCTCCTTCTCTGCGTTCAGGGCTGCCTGATCCAAGTAAGTTTTGTTTTTTAAAATTTTCCGAATTTAAGCGATATTTTTAACTTTGATATCGGTAGTCCCCTTTTGTACCCTTTCATTGTTCTCTGATTATCATCGTAATAAAAACGATAACGTAGAGGATTTCACAGATCTTGAGACATGAGGTCTAACTCTGATTTGTTCTACAAGTGCTCCCTTTAAGCCGGAGAACAATGTTTCCTGTCCGTAGCAGCTCATAATAGACCATGTTGCATTCAATAATCATTACACGATATTATTCCTTCACCGGGGAAATTGTTATTAAAAACGTGATGAGTACGTAAATGATACATTTATATAAGTCTACTTTTTGACTCCACTACTTTAGATACGTTGTAACTAAGGTAGATACTTGCTCAAATTCTACAATTGACGAAATTGGTGCGCTATGTACAGAGGAACTAAGGTGTCACTGTTTAATTTTAATTTATGTGGCTGTTTTAGAATGCGTACGGTCAGTGCTGTGGCTGTGGATGCGGTAGTGGTTGCGGTTGCGGTTGCTATGGCGGCGAGGGCGACGGTAATGTGAACGTCTGCGGTGAGCTGCCCGTGTGTGGTGAAACCTGTGTCTGTGGTCGCGTGCCTATCTGCGGTGGTGTTTGCTTCAAGGGCCCTGCCTGTGCTAGTGGTTGTGTCTCTATCTGCGGACGTTGCTGCGGATGCGGATGCGGCTGTGGAGGCTGCGGAGGCTGCGGATGCGGTTGTGGAGGCTGCGGAGGATGCGGATGCGGATGCGGACGTAGATGTTGTTGCTGCTAAAAAACTCATTGAGTTATTTATTATTGAAAAAATTCAAAAAACCCAGATTCAATAATAATTCTTATAGTTATTTCAATGCCACAATTGTATTTGATTTAAGTTTGAAAACAAACATCTTTGTGCAATAAAAAAAATCTAAATCAGTTTTCCACAAAAGCGAGTTTATGTTTCGTCTATTTTCATTGGATCTGTTGTCTTGGTCACATCTAGCAAAGCGATAATGGCGGCTTTTAAACTTCGGATGCAGCTAATATGTATTTACATGCAGAAATACTTAACATGAGTTCACAAACGACTTCTACTGTAAAGAAATTAGTTCGCGTCATAAACATGAAACTCACAAAAATTGTACATTTGTAATCTATCCTAGTATTATAAAACTGAAGGGTTTGTTTGTTTGTTTGATTGAACGCGCTAATCTCAGGAACTACTGGTCCGAATTGTACTGAAAGTACTGAAATAGCTCTATAGTTAGAGGGGTCATCAGTACTACCAGATTTAAAAAGAGGAATCACTTTACTATGTTTCATTAAGTCAGGAAATACACCACACCTAATACAATCATTAAAAATACTAACAAGATGAGGAGCAATAATGTCTTTACTGATATTCCCCACAAGTCAGCTGTATTTTTTACGTTAAGGCTATTTAAACTTTTTATTATATTGCTCGAATTAATTTTCTTAAATTTGAAAATTTCATTACATTTGTTGACATGGTTATGCAATAATATTTCAGCTGCTGTGGGGGATGAATTTAGAGAAGTGGTAGTTGAAACTGGAATGTCAGAGAAAAACTTTTCAAAAGCATTAGGCACATCTTCATGACTAGTTACCAATTTATCATCTATTTTTAATGAGAATTCTTGGTGGCTATTTCTGACTTTTCCACTTTCTCTACCAATGATGTTCAAAGTCATATTTATCTTGTCAGGGGCATTTTTTATTAAATCACTTAAATGTAAAGATTTTGCTGCTAAATAAACTTTTCTAAATAGTTTTGAATAGTTCCTGACATATTGATGAAATGTTTCATCATTATTATAAACTTTTTCAGAGTACAGATCATACAACATTTTTCTACTTTTGTACACTCCGGTGGTGGCCCACTCGCTGAACACTGTTTTGTTTTTTAATGTTACAGTTTTAGGAATAAATATAGGTACATCAGTAAAGACCAAATTAATTCTCTCAGATATATTCTGGTATAACAAATTTGGTTTTTTGTTATAAATAATATCTTAATGTTCTTGGATAATATTATTTCGAAGCTTCTCAATTCGTTTTTTATTAATAGGAACAATCACAAGAGTATTTTTATCTTTAGAATTCATATTAGATTCAAAAGACACAAATTGTCCACTGTGGTCTGATGTTAACTGATTAATATTTTTTTTGTTAATCGGTGATACATTTGTAAATATGTTATCTAAACATGTTGCCGATGTGGTCGTTGTCCTAGTAGGCTCTAAAAATAAATTTGGGAGGTTTTATGACTTTAGCAATGTTCTGAATCTAATAGTGGTATTTGTGTTTTCTAAAAGATTAATATTAAAATCACCACATATAAAAATTTATTTATTAGAGACAGAAAGGTTTAGCAATACATTTTCCAAAATATTTTCAAAAGAATCATATAACGCATCAGGAGGTCTGTAGACGCAGACAACGATGAGGTGCTCAAGCTCAACACAGGAAATTTCAATAATTCTCTCAACAGAGAGGGCCACTACATCCTTTCGTTCCTTACATTTCAAACATTTACTAACGAGAATCAGTGAGCCACCGCGAATAGTGTTCTCTCTGTAGAAAGGAACTTGACAACTGGTGATCATTAAAATTAAACAATAATTCATAGTTTCTAAACCAGTGCACAGTGACACAGAATACATTAATATTATGTATATTTAAAAACATTTCAATTTATAGCTCTTTACCCATCATCCCTTGTAAATTTTGATGCACCAAATTGAATATGTTAATAATTGAAACCTTAACGTCTTTTGATGGGTATAGTCTATTTGTTGTAATTGCAAGAGTGTGACTCCTTTGTCTTACTAATTAATTTAAATTGGAAACAGATTCCAAAGTCTTAAAACATTTGATATTTTTTTCCTACTCAATAGAAGCAGGTATTTTTTTAGCTAAATTTATAGCTAGGAAATTGTGTATAAAATACTGTAGCGATGTTGCTACTTGTCTAAAATTTGTATAAGTTAAATTTAAACATGAAATTTTTTGATATCTTTAAATATCTAAATTTCATTATATTACTTATGTCTATTTATGTCTAATGACTGTACTGTTTGCAAATAGATAGAATTTAATTGTTATGGAATGATACCTGTCCTTGTGCATCAATCGGAATACATCAGCTATGCCAGGGGCACAATAAAGCTACTATCTGTATTTTAGAAATAAGTTAAATCGAGCAATCCAACATTTAAACATTCAATTTTTAGAGGCTCATAGATTTTCTGAAAATTTTGTGAAACTTCTATTGCTATTCTATTGCTCTATCTATCTAATTATATTCGATATCAGATGTGACCGTGTCGGTTCAATATATTTGACAGCCACGTTTTTTCCAATCAAAAAATATACGGTAGGGCGTCTGGGAGCCCTCATAGTTAAGTATCAACACCCCGTCCATTTCTGCCTTGACAAGTAACGCATGGCTATTTAAAGGGTGGGACAGTCATTGTACTATAAAGCTGAGATTGGGAACTCATATCTCAAGACGGGTAGGGTGGCATTAACGTAGTTGATGTCTATGAGCTCCAGCAAACACATAACATCTCGTCCACTCAATTAAGCATTTAAAAAACATAACACGTATTCAGGAACATTTCACACATTAGAATAAAATACAATTACGGTACTAAAAAGACAATTAGGATAATTACTGAATGTGGGTTTTATTGATTTTTTCAATAATACATAACTCATTGAGCTTTTTTTTAGATGTCACAATATGAACGTCCGCAACCACATCCTCAGCAGCAACCGCAGCCTCCACAGCCGCATCTGCATCCTCCACAACCTCCACAGCCGCATCCGCATCCACCGCANATAAAATACAATTACGGTACTAAAAAGACAATTAGGATAATTACTGAATGTGGGTTTTATTGATTTTTTCAATAATACATAACTCATTGAGCTTTTTTTTAGATGTCACAATATGAACGTCCGCAACCACATCCTCAGCAGCAACCGCAGCCTCCACAGCCGCATCTGCATCCTCCACAACCTCCACAGCCGCATCCGCATCCACCGCAGCCTCCACAGCCGCATCCGCATCCTCCACAACCTCCACAGCCGCATCCGCATCCACCGCAGCCTCCGCAGCCGCATCCGCACCCGCCACAGCTTTGGGTGATACCGATGCAATCGTCTCCACAGCCGTAGTCGATACGACCACAACCCGAGCTGCACATGTCGCCGCAGACATCAGCAGTACCAAGGAAAGGCACTTCACCGCAGACACAGACATCACCATTGTACCTGTTTTCGGAACATATACTTAGACCAGTAGGAGCAGCAGAGTTGGAACACACACAGAAACGGTCACAACATCCACAGCCACAACCTCCACAGCCGCAACCACAACCTCTACAGCCGCAGCCGCAACCGGTGCCCAAAACGGACTATGAAAAAAAAACAATTATATATTTTTAAGTAATCATTTAAAGTCCATTTAATTCAATTTAAAAATTAAAAGACTTACCTGGGCCACGAGGGCGATGGCGCAGACGAAGAGAATGAGTTTAGCGGCCATATTGTTTTACTGAGTTACTTCAGAATGAGTTGACTCTGCACTACACTAGCTTTTATACCGAGCAGTTTCCTTGAAAATCCGCATGCTTCATATCTAAATAGCATATAGACGTGACTTTGGAGATATTCTGCAGTTTTCGTCCTTGGGGCGATCTAATAAGGAAACCATTACGAACACCTGTTTGATTAAAAACCAAACTATCATTGTTTCTCAACTGTTTGTCATTGAATTGTTTCTTATCTCAAGGTGAACATGATTCTTAGTTACTATATAAGAACGAAGTCTTGAAGCTTAAAGTATTCAAGATTAAGTGCCTGAATATCCAGCATTATGTTTACCTTCGCTCTTCTCCTTCTCTGCGTTCAGGGCTGCCTGATCAAAGTAAGTTTTGTTTTTGAAAAGCTTCCAAATTTAAGCAATTTTTTTTATCTAATGTCGGTGGACCCCTTTTTGTACCTTTTCGTTGTTCCCTGATTGTCTTCGTAATCAAAACTATAACGCAGGTGATTTTATAGATCTTGAGACATGAGGTCGAATTCTGATATGTTCTGTAAGTGCTCCATTCAAACCGGAGAACAATGTTTCCTGCCCGTATCAGCTCATTGTAGATCATGCTACTGCTAATAATTACGTATATTTTAATAAACATCACACGATATTATGCCTTCACCGTGGAATCTGTTATTAAAAACGTGATGGGTAGTTATGTATGAGATACACTTTTTGTGATATACTTATGTACGTTAACATTTTGATTCCATTATTTTAGATACATTGTAACTGAGGTAGATACTTACATAAATTCTACAATTGACGAAACAGGTGGGTTATGTACAGAGGAACTAAGGTGTCACTGTTTAATTTTAATTTATGTGGCTGTTTTAGAATGCGTACGGTCAGTGCTGTGGCTGTGGATGCGGTGGTGGTTACGGTTGCGGTTGCTATGGCGGCGAGGGCGAAGGTAATGTGAACGTCTGCGGTGAGCTGCCCGTGTGTGGTGAAACCTGTGTCTGTGGCCGCGTGCCCGTCTGCGGTGCTGTTTGCTTCAGGGGCCCAGCCTGTGCTAGAGGTTGTGTCTCCATTTGCGGACGTTGCGTTCCCACATGCTGTTGCGGATGCGGCTGTGGAGGCTGCGGTGGATGCGGATGCGGCTGTGGAGGTTACGGAGGATGCGGATGCGGACGTAGATGCTGTTGCTGCTAAAAAACTCATCGAGTTTTTTATTATTGACAAAATCAATAAAACCCAGCTTCAGTAACAACTCTCATTGTATTTTCAATACCAAAATTGTATTTTATTTAAGTTTGAAATCATCTTTGTGTAATAAAAAAAAAATTGAATCCGAGTTTATAATTCGTCTATTTTTATTAGATTTTTTGTATTGGTCGCATCCAGCATTGCGATTATATGGCGGTGTTGATAACGATGCTCGTGTCGGCTTAACATTCGTCGTCTTCTCGCATTAAAACTGTATTTTTTTTTATTGCTTTGATGGTTGGACGAGCTCACAGCCCACCTGGTGTTAAGTGGTTACCGGAGCCCATGGACATCTACAACGTAAATGCGCCACCCACCTTGAGATATAAGTTCTAAGATCTCAGTATAGTTACAACATCTGCACCACCCTTCAAACCGAAACGCATTACTGCTTCACGGCAGAAATAGGCAGGGCGGTGGTACCTACCTTGGCGAGCTTGGTCATAATCTAGTACTGATTATGCAAATTATAAACTTTGCGAGTTTAATCATATCGCACATATCGGGTACATCAGATGTCTTATCTCTTAAGCCACGATGACAGTAAGTAATATTTATCGGAGTAGCCTGGCTATTTAGTTAAGTAAGATTAGTTAGTTAACTGCTTAAGACGGTATTCAGGGAAATTAATGGACAAACTACCCTACTGTAAATACGTTACGTTATATGTCACTTTTGTCGCACGACACATTCCGGCTCGAGCAGGCAAATGGAGCGGAGCTCTTTGTGTTTATTGTTGTACACTTGAAATTCAGTAAAAGGAATTGATTGAAAAAGTAAGTTTTAATTACTAACACTATGTAAGACAATGATATTGATGAACAGGATGGTATCATTGAGGCTGACGTCATCATTTAAAAAAACGCCATGGATCTAGCCACTCCGTCATATCCTATCTCTGTTAATGCAGACGATACATTATCGCCATGGAACGTAGTTATACTGGAAAGCAATTTGATGCTGGAGTAAAATATATTTTGAGTGTTCAGATTATAAAAGGACAAGCGTCGTGTTGACAATTTGTTCAATAGCCGCAGCAGCCACATCCGCATCCGCCGTAGCCTCCATAGCCGAGACCGTAGCCGCCTCCGTAACCAGCTCCATAGCCGAGTCCACTTTATTATATTCAGATCAATTTAAATATAAATATTTTACAGAGCACGAAAATTTTGATCTAACTTAGTAAATAAAAAAAAAATATATTTTATTAAATTTATATATTAATAAATTAAGCGTAAAATTAGGTCTTTACCTACGAAATTGCCGTTTAGTATGGGACAAGTTGTAGGCATTTTTTGATATTAAAAGAATGCGGGTCCGATTTTCGGTATGTGACGATATACCTTTTTTTTTTTCGGGTGAGGGCCGAACCTCCTACGAGGTCCCCGCGCAAAAGGGGCGCGCGGGGTATGTGAGACATGTGACGATATACCTACCTGCAAGTTCAATTACTAATCACTCGATATTTATTTTAGATACATTTTCTTCAAACCGGATTTTTCATCTGTTATTTAAATGATCGGAAGAAGATTTTGCTTTTTTATAGTTAAAAAAGTACCTATTCGCTGGTAGCCTAAGGGACTATCCCAGCTACGAGCAGACACGGATAGCTTCCAGAATCTACCACCGGGTCATAATCGCGACCCACTGAAAAGATCCGACGAGAAACCCAGTAGGTAAAAAAATCATTTAGCATAATACTTAATTCGTTTTAAACGCATTACTGCTTCACGGCCGAAATAGGCGGGGTAGTGGTACCTACCCTTGCGGACTCACAAGACGTCCTACCACCAGTAATTAAGCAAATTATAATTTTGCGAGTTTTGATTTTTATTACACGACTTTATTACTTCACCGTGGAAGTCAATCTTGAACACTTGATAAGTACGTACCTATTTCATTAGAAAAGTTGGTACCCGCCTGCGGGATTCGAACACCGGTGCATCGCTAGATACGAATGCACGGGACGTCTTATCCTTTAGGCCGTGACGACTTCAAATTAATATTATATACTTCAATAATTAGAAATTTGCTGAATTAAGTCCTACAGTTATATACTTTAACCACAAAATTATGTGTAAACCGCTGTGGGCTTATCCCACATTTCATGCACACACATAAAACACAATATAAACTCTTCACAATATAAAACTTATATAATATATTTATTTCATATAATTATTAATACACACAGAATATACATTCACACATATAACATATCTATTAATATATTATTACTACATTACATATAAAACAGACATACACACACGACAATTTATCGTACCGCGTCAATCAGCTGGTCGCCCGTTCGTTTGCGCTGTGGACACGCGCGCTTGAACGGAATGTCGCGGGTAGATCGAAAAGCACTCCTGCGCAGCTGATCGCGGCTAGCCACGCCGCCAGTCGAAACTTACCTCGTACTGAACGCACGTCGCTTTTGCTAAATATATACTGTTATATTGTTCTCGAAGCTTTTGCATCTCTTGTGATAACGCGCTTTCTTTGTGTTTATCGTTACTGTACTGTCGTGTAGTGTCTTCTGTGTACTGTTTATAAACTGAATATCTGTCTGTGCTCGTAACCTTCAATTCTTCATAATTATAATATGTATTCTGATGTGGACTAAGTGTAATTGAATAAACATTTAATTGGTGTGCAAGGTGTTGTATTTAATTTATTAACCGAACACCGACGGCGCCTACTCAGGTACTTACTTACCTTTACCACATTACGCTACGCGTCCGGACGACGCATACATACTCGACCACATCTATACGGGAGACTGTAGTCTCCCGTATAGATGTGGTCTCCCGTATAGATTCTCGTCTATACCGCGCTTACCTGAGTCACCAGGATGGTGGTGGACACAGACAGGATATTTTTTGCGGCCATCATATATGTTTTTGGTACTGTGGCGTTTCAGAGTGCATCTTTTTATGATGCGTAAGCCGGAATGCACGACAGGTGGAAAAAAGAATATAGTCTGTGACGCGGGACCTTTTTACCGCCGAAAATTAAAAAACGTAAAAATAATTTATAATGTGTTTAATAACTAATATAATATAATAACTTAGAATTGTTTATGCCGCTACAACAATAAAATTTCTATTGTTTCAACTGTGGTGTTAATTACATATAACACGACTTTACGGCGAAATGAAGAAGGGACTCTATATGAATTCCCCTCAGTACTATACCAAAACGACTTCCAAGTATCAACTTAGATTCTGTTTTTATAAGCAAATGCATTATCTATCTTACGTGACTCTAATAAACGGTTTTTCTTCAAACGCTGTTTCGATCACTTTAAGGGTATTAACTTTTTCTGATGCAACCGCACGAGCTAAAATTATGAAAACGCATAAATATAAGTACTTAGTAATAATATTATATGCAAGCTTAATTATTACTAATATCCGATGCAAAACACATAGTTTCGCTCGTCGTATAGGTCACGTAATAAGGTTTGGTAACATAATAATCTATTTGTTTGTTAATCACTATTGCACAAAACTATGGACAAGGAAAGCTCTAAGCCGAGTAGAGTGGAAAGAAATGGAGGAGGCCTTTGCCAAAGTTGGGCAAACAGACGAAGTTGTCGATGTCACCGACTCGGCAGAGTCGTTAATTTAAGTTTATTATTTGTAAATATCCTTTGCGTCTGAATAAAGGCTTTTATTATTATTATTATTATTAACATAATAATCTATTTGTTTGTTAATCACTATTGCACAAAATAGTTCAAATAGCAAACTGAAATGAAGATGCGACAGAACCTAACCAAGATTGGGCAACCAAGATAAGATGACAAGATAAGTAGGAAGTGCACTTTTCCTATTCTACCAAATATCCAAACTAAACCACTGGGCCTCTCAGTCGGTGGGTTATCTGAATTGGAAATATGTTGCCGACTCCTACCCCCCAGGATACTTTTCTGGGACAGAACCAGCATAGGTCATGGAATGCAGCCCGTCACAATTATACATATGACAAATGCAGAGCAGTAGCGTTCGACCATCGAAGACCATCGAGAAATTCTGGGAATTCAACAAGCCGACGTATGGTAATGGCCAAAACTTTGGGAAACCTTCTCGGCCATTGGTACCCCAAAGCACTTAATTCATCTGACGAGGCGACTCTATGAAGAAGGAATAGCTTCTCTTAGAACAGAGGCCATATTTTCGCTTTACTTCCACTCTAGCGCAGGAGTTCGCCAAGGGTGTATCATATCAGCAGAGCATAATTGAGGGTACAAGACAACGTGGCAGACTACCTTTACTATAGACCGATCACATAAAAGCAGCTCTAAGCGGTCCCGTTAACGAGTGCACAAAAAAAGACCGCGGTACACGAGGAATAAATAAAATAAATAAATAAATATTTACTAACAATCACGCTACGTTAACTGGTCCCGTGATAAGTTCGTAAAGAACTTGTGTTACAGGTACCAAATAACGGAAATAAATGTAAAATTTTTATTATACACGTACATATATTTAATATACATCCATAACCCTGGAAAAGACATTTATATTTATCATACAAATATTTTTCCTTGGCGGGATTCGAACCCGCGACCCCCTTGTGTAGTGACCATGTCACTTACCACTACACCAGACGGTCGTTAAAATGGTGACGTCTTGTGAAGCGCACCACCTAATGACTACCACGACTGCTAAGAGTGCAAACAATAATTCCAGTCCTCGATAAATGCGAGGCGAACACTCAGGCCCCAACGCCTCTGCAAGATGGAATCATTTTGGTGGGGGCTCCTCTAGTCTGAAATACTGATTCTAATTGAAGCTTTCATAGAAAAGAAGATATCTAATGACTCACGCTAATAGCATTTGTAAAAGGTAATATTGCATATATACAAATTTCGAGTATTCAGATCAATTGTCGACCAATCAAAAACACCTGCTCGGCGTAAGACCATCCTACACGGA